TGTCTAAATAAAGATTTTACCTTACCTTACCTTTATTTCTCTCAGAGGGAAGCGGGGTGCACAGAGGGGGGGGGGGCACCTACACACTCCACCTATTAGTATTTTGGGAATTTAAAAATATGTCTGGACTGATTGTTTCTCTTGATTCATGCCAAAGGTGTTGTTGAAATAACACGAACTTTAGGATCAAATTAATGTGTCAAGTCAAATTTATGTGTTTTCAGGACTCTGGATTTGTCTTTCAACCTGATCAAGACAATAGAAAACTTGGGATGTTTGACAAAAGTCAAGAAGTTGTTTCTTGTATCAAACAAGATTTCCAAGATCGAAGGTCTTCAGAATCTCTCACAGTTAGAGATGATTGAGCTTGGTGCCAATAAAATAAGGGTAAGCATAAGAAATTCATGTACTAAGTTTATTCTTTTTACTCTTACGAGATTTGCAATTTTGCCATTTCTTTATTGTTTTATTTATTTATTGGCTGAAGGTTCTAGAGGGATTTGAAGGGCTCACACAAGTACACAGTTTATTTGTTGGAAAGAATAAGATAACAAAACTAGAGGTGGGTATCCTGGTTTGAGTCTTTTATTTTAAACTTTATAGTAAAAGTGAAGAGATTTCTGTTCACAGTTGTTTGTGACTGTAAGTGTATACATTGTTGCACATTGCAAAACTATTATGAGCTGTTAGGGGTTTTATTAAGGGTGGGGCATTGGGTGAATTGACCGGCTGTGAGGATGACTTTGCCTGGCTGGTTTGACCGTCCAGCAGAAAGTTTTTCTCCTAAAAAAGTTCAGTTCATATAGTTTTGTAGCCTGTGAAACCAGTTGCCTTCCTGCTGAAAACATTAGTGAAACCCCTGGCTTTTACAATTCTCATAAAATTTGCCAGCATCAAGCTTCATCACATATTATTAGTTCAATTACTAATCAAATAAATTTGATCTGTTGATATTCTTTGTTGGCAGAATCTCAGTTGTCTCACAAACTTGAAGCTTCTTAGTATACAGGTAATTTGTAGGCTGCAAACACAGACATATTTCTGGCTGTTGCTTGTCTCTGTCTTTGTTCACGGGCTAGTAATTTTGAGGGTAACTGTTATATCTTTGATGGGATTTATTATAGATATATTTCTTAGATCCAGGAGTGTGGCAAGTATACAACCTACGAGCCAAACACCAAAGATATTTCTTGTAAAAGACCCGTTTTCATGCTGTTCCATGATGCAAAATTTGGCTGACATCATAAAGCAGAGTAGAGCTTTATGGCCATGGCCCTTTTTGACTCATTGTGGATCAATGATAAAGCCAAAAACTTGTGGCACAGAATTTATTGACAAACTAAGTCATCTGCAGAGGATGTTTTAGTTCATTTGAATATTATTATTACAGTTAAAAAATTGTACAGTTGGACTAAGTGGACTTCAGAAAGTTACTTCACTGTTTCTTTTTCAGTTTGTTAACCTCTCTGTCTTGTTCTTAGAGTAATCGTATCATAAAGCTAGAAGGTCTGGACAGCTTGGTAAACCTAGAGGAACTTTATATTAGTCATAACGGTATTGAGGAAATTGAGGGGCTGGATAATCTGGTAAGGGTGACAAACTACATGAAGTTCCAGATTTGTCTTGTGTAGCCTGATATGTTTCAAAGGTGTAGACAGTCCGGTGACTCCAGATCGAGAGGTCCAGGTTCAAGCCCCGGCTGGGGTTATTGTGTTGTTCTCTCGAGTGAGACACTACTCTCACAGTGCCTCTCTTCAGCCAGGTGTATAAATTGGAACCTGCAAATTACATGCTATACAGGAGGGAGTAGCAACATTCTTATTTGTTTCATGTTGTAATCAAACTCTGTCATAGGATACCAATTTTTGGGTCAAGTCTTCATAGAACATCGAAAATCACATATTGATTTTTGATCTGAAATGTACCGCTTTCATTCCCCAAAATTTCCTGGTAAGCACCCTCCCCCTTCCCTGTATGGAGTGCAGCACACTTACCATTACTGTACCTCCCACACATCTCCTAGCGATTTTGTTGATTTATTTTGATCATTGTTTGTTTGCACAGACAAATCTTACAACACTAGACTTAGCATCTAACAGGATAAAAAGGATCAAGAATGTCTCTCATCTAGTCAACTTGGAGGAATTCTGGGTATGGTTATCATAAACCTTCTAACTGAACAAAATCAAAATGTTCCCAGACTATATTTAAGTACTCGCTTATTCATTTCTGTTGGTTAACGGCCTCATAAAGCACCTGGGGCCCAGTTCTCGAAGGTCCCGAAGAGTTACTCGCACCCGGAAAGCCATAGCAAAATCTCAAACCTTCTGATTACAGAGCTGTTTTATTTACATATTCTCAATACATGTATGACCAGAAGTTCCCTTCAAACAAGAAGCTTCAGGTGTATACAACTTTCTGTTTTTAGATACAGATTAACTAAAAATGGCTTTGTGGGCCCAAAAAGTTTCTGGGGCTTTCGAGAAACGCGCCCCTAGAATGTTGGAAGAACACAGAAGATGAGTGAGGTCTCTAGACAACTCCTAGTAAAGCGTAGGTTGACAGATCAGAGCATGCGCACTATGTTCAGGTATTTCATTATGCAATCCATTCTTTCATTTTTTTTATCCGCCAATCAGAGTGAAGAGGCTGTTCAGTCAGCCAATCAGGTGATTTGGCTTACGACGTTTTACCTTCGTTTTCCACTGCTTTCATATTTTGCTTCGAGATACGATTGGTTGATTTACTGAATACACTTGAATCATTTCGAACTCGCAGGGGAAACGAAAAATAGTTCGAAATAGAAAATCCAAGGAAAATGGTTTTGAGCTCGAAATAACGGGGAATTCGTGATAATTTTGAAGTAGCGGGATCAACTGTGAATTTAACGGAGATGAAGCTTAATTTTCTGCTCATCAATAATTAAAGAAGGGGAGGGGGTACAGACCAACCACAGAATATATACTAGCGCCAATTGACAATCCAACTGTCATGTAATTTTGTTTTTGCAGTTTAACGACAATCAGCTGGACTCTTGGGAAGATCTGGACCAGTTCAAAAACTGCACCAAGCTACAAACAATTTACCTGGAGAGAAATCCCATCTGGAAGGACACGACCTACAGACGAAAAGTTAAACTCGCTCTCCCGACTGTCACGCAGATTGATGCCACGTTATGCGCTTGAAAGATACTAAAAGTGCAAGAGTTGTATATAGTTATCAGAGGGCTTAAGCAATGACGACGGCGACCCCAAGGACAACGCCTGGTAAAAAGTGAATTTATTTTTTACCTTCGAATTTCGCGATTGTCTTGATTTGTTCAGTGCGCCTATTGGTCTCAGAACTTGCTCAAGCTAAATATGTAACGCCAGCGTTCAATTCCAAATCAAAATACAACAAATTAGCCGTCGCCTTCGTTCGCGTTCCCCAAAATACGCAGAGCTTAGTCATTTCATGTTGTGTTGATACAGAGGACGGCAAAGAAATGTTCACGTGCGCAGCCATTATTTTACTCATTTTAAAAACCTTTTGTTTGGTGACGTTCGCGTTGCCGTTGCCGTCGTGGTTTACTTAAGCTCTCTATTAGCTTGAGCGAATAGGCTTTTCTCTTCTAGCGCCAAATGTCTCCTCTCTCCCCCGTGAAGAGGGCGTCTATTTATGCAAGCCGTATAGTTGTTATCACTCGAAGAAGGTGTTGTATTGTAAAAAGGAAAATTCTCTCTGGATTTTAAAGCTCCAAGTGCATTTTTTGAGAAATAGTTTGGCAAATGGTCGAAACGTCTGCACTGAAGTTACAATAGAAGTGAACGAGTTTCATTTGGAAAACTTGCGCTGTTTGGTCCTGGTTATTTCAGTGAAATCGTGGTTTCGTTCAGACCATGTTATGGAACAATTTAATTGAGGATAGTGAACTATGAACTGATGTGCGTACGATCGTGGGATATATACCGTTTGAACATAAAATCACTTTCTCGTGAAATTTTTGTAAGTTTTTCTTGTGTACATATTGAGAAGATATCTTTTAATAAATGCTTTTTAATCTGAAGTGCCTGATTTTCAGTTACCGTAGACGTGCCTGTAGCCCAGCAACGATTAACGAAATACCTATTACCAGTAAAAGAATCAAGTTCTTTCAGGGAACTTTACAGGATGTCGTGTTTGTTCAAGATCATTTGGGGCGCACGCGAAGACCCTAAACAGGAGCATATCGTGTTTGAAAAGCTGTCAAAAGTGAAGTTCAAATAACTGAAAAAATAAACGCTCTCCTTGATTTTACCCTTTGTACCCTGCATATGATCTGTTATTTGTTTGTTGCACCTTGTTTCAGACGTATCAGAAACGGTTTCCGACGCTCTTTAGCGTACTAACATCAGCGAGTTCCTGTGGAGAAATTTATCCGTCAAGAGTCAAAAAGTCGAGACCTCAAGAATTAACGGGAAGGGGAGGTCTGAGTACTAGCCCGGTTGTGTGAAGCTATTTGCGTGGAAAAAGCTCTGCATTGTTTTTTTCCATTGCTCTCCCTCAAAGAATTTAATTTCGAGAAATCGCTCTTGAACAATACGCAGTTCATACTTGTCTGATTTTTCAATTAAATTGCTGTAGCAATTGTTGCCGAAACAAAAAACTAATTAACTTCCACTTTTCGATGCGCACATTATTAATTTCTGGAATCTTTCAATATTCCGCTTTCAAAAGATATACTAAACCACAAATTATTTGACACAAAAGCCACAAGGAGGTCACGAATTTCTAATAACACGTCCTGGTAACAAAGACCGCATTTTTCCATTCTAAAACCTAAATAACAATATATGTTCTTCAGATAATCGTCTTTAAATGAGTTTCTACAACTACACATGAGCAGTCCATATGTACAGTGTGTCGTTCTTACTTTGAACTGTCTTGTATGTCATTTCGTTCCTCAGCATAGCCTTCTCTCGCTCAGTGATATCGGTTTTATTCCGAACATCTAAGGTAGCTTCAGCATTTTTTTCGCCTTCAAAACTCTTCTCACCGTCAGGGTCTTGATTCACCATCATGTATTTGTTAAAAACCGTTTCCAAATCCATTGCAACTTTCTCATACAGAGAGCAGTTTTTAGATTCACTCTCCGTAGGATTCACTCCGTTTTGGTGCTCTTTCTGGCAGTGAAGAGTTTTTAAACTTCTATACTTATCTTGTTCAGCTGTGGTTATGTCAGTTGTCTGTACGGACTCGTCACCATGTAGTTCAGCCTTTTCTTCATCTATCTTGTGACATGCGCTCAAACAAGGACTCTTTCCACATTCGCTATTTCGTCGCTCGTGAAAACGATGTTTCCGCTTTCTCGCTCTAAAGTAAGAGATGTTGTCGAATATCTTCCCATATTCCTCTTGCAGCTGTTCCTCAAAATTGTCAACGGAGAGCATTATGTTCAAACTGAACTGCCCTCTCTGTTTAGTTGAAAAGTCTAAAGTAAAATCACACGTCTTGCTGACTTCAAAGATTATTTAACTCTTTACCACCTTTCCATCAGTATCTCTCTGTAAAACTAACACCGCTATGAAACTCGAGTTCAAAAGACTTGATTAACTTAATTATCTCTAGAAATTTAGATCAAGTTATTAGACCGTAAAATTAGCTTAACAATAACATAACCAATTGAAACTGAACATGTCCTGCTACATGATCTGATTATCCAAAAGGCCTCGTTCACATGTACACTACGCCTGAGAAATTTGAAAACGCAGCTTTCTTTCTACGGCTAGGTCTACCGTCCACACTAATCCGTCACGAAAACGGAACTTTTCGAAAACGCTCTTCAAACCGGAGGAATTTAAAAACGCTGGCGTTTTAGCGTGGAGGGAAAACGTAGATTTTGAAAACGAAGCTTTTCGAAAACGATGACGTCACGATAATCATATGATTTTCCTGCCCGAGTTTTCCTCAAACATAAATCCAAAATGACCGGTGATTGCTGCGTTTTCAGATTTCTCTGGTGTAGTGTGAACAGAAAACATTTGATGCGTTTTTAGAGTGAAAACGCCTTTTCTCGTCGTGGTGTGGACGGCAACCTCGTTCCCAGGGCTTTTTCCTTGGCGTGGAGGAAGCCAGGGAAAAGGCCCTGGGAACGAGGTCGTGTGGACGGGGACTAAGATTCCGAGCTAATGAAGTAAAAAGTACATAGCTATGTAACCTGCTTTGGTTTTGAAGTTTCAGAAGTTTAGTCCTGCGGTTGCCACTGGTTGTATTTTTTCCCGCGCTTTTTCCCAAGTAAACTCTGTCATAAGCATGTCAGTCAGTTTAGGGATTTTTAAAAAGACCTTGTGAAATGTGGTCAAACTTTTCCTCTGACATAACAAGCGAAACGAAGATATCTGATGGCTCACCCCTTAAATCTTTTTCAAGATAGTGCCTATTGGTTGCCTTCTGGTCTAAAAAGTTGTGGCGTTGAGTACTGCAGGTCTTGTTTACACCGGATTTTGTGTACAGGTTGTGTACAAAATATTTGATGTGTTGCTAACGTGTTCCGCACGTGTTTGTCCGATACATATATGACTATATATGTTATTTATCTTCCGGGAGGTCTGTATTGGGAAAACTGTGCCCGAGGTCTTGAGTACCGAATGGCCTGAGACCGTGAGGCCGAGGGCCGTACTCAAGATCGAGGCCGAGGCATGACTAAAGTAAACTTTGCTTTGCAATTTCCATTGGTAGTGTTACACCAAGTCCATTCCTTGCCCCAGGAAAAACAACCGGACTCCCAAATAGGCCTGTCCTGATTGTGCTCGGCAACTTTCGGGCAACTTTTAGCGTTTGGAGCAATTCTTTTCAGTTCTAGCAACCTCGTGCACGTTCTGCCTTTCTTAGCAACTTTTGAGCAAAATATAGGTTTAGAGCACATTTCAAGCACGAAAAAGTCAACAATCTCACAGGAAACTTCAATTTATGCGAATTTCTTGAATGCAGAAAGGGTTTTTGTCTTCTGACAAATGTATCTGGCTCATAGCAAGAGTCCGCCCTCCAAGACGGACCTCCAAGATTACCTTGAAGCCTCTGTCATGCTTCGATCTAACTTGAATGCGAAAAAGGTGTAACAGTTTGATTTCTTATATGGTTTTAGACTCCGGGAATGCCACCAGTAGAGCTAGTTTCGTTCAAGTTGGCAAGACGTCAAATGAACCATGTGTTTTGTTCCCTTAGACATAACAGTATCCTTAAATTTCGCTCATATTTGCGACCAGCTCTTAAAAGCTAAGTTTTAAGCTATCTTTATAGACCGCTGTTAGACATTATTGTGAAAACGCAAAATAGAACTTTTAATTAATGTTTATGTAAAAATATCAAGAAATTCAGGTAGCAACTTTTGAAAATTAGGTAGTAACTTTCTGGATTTTTGGCAATTCAGTTTTTAGTAACTGTTCGGCATTCCGATCCAGTAAGCAACTTTCCAGAATTTTACGAGCACAATCGGGAAAGCCCTACACGCAAAAAAAGCTGGAAATCGAGCCTAACCACTGAGAAGTTGGGAAAAAAAAAATAAAAGTATGATAATTCGCAACAGGAAGACAGCGAGACGCAAATAATAATTTCGTGCGCGACAAGTGCGCGACGACGAGTAAACACGATAGCATCCAGACCTGCAGCGTCGTAACATAGGAGTCTGGGCACTAGAAAGCTTCAAAATGGCGGCCGAGATCTCCCCAAAGGAGTTGAAAGACTTCACGAATTATTAAACACAATCACGCCCGGGCGATTTTAATTACACTGAAAATTATCACTGAAAAATGGATCTGCTCGGTTCAATTCTTAGCAGCATGGATGCACCACCATCAACAGAAAACAAAAAGGCGAAAGGTAAAGCTTCCGTTTACAAGCTGACGTGTTGTTCTTCCTCTCATAGTCACTTAGCAATCCCGTCTGCTGTCCGTAAATTTATCACGGCACGAATTCGGTTTTGCATTAACTCTGAAGCGAATGTTCCATGCTAAAATAATGTAATTATAACTTAGCTGCTTTCTGAAAATGGCAATTTCGTTTTGTTGTTTACGTTGGAACTAAATTCGACGTTATCGCAAGATGTTCAAGAACTTTAATATGAAGTAAGCTGATATGCAAAGTTGTGAAATTATTAGAAATAGGAATGAAAATGCAGTTTCAAATCAGAATCAATACATGTAAGGTAAGCTTATATGCTAATGGTTTGGTTGACAGGTTTTAGGCAACGATCTTAGCATCTTAGGAATCGGAGAAAATGGGAAAGATTTGGTTTTGGAGGGTGAGGGATCCGGAAATTCAGGATCCTTCAAAGGATCCCGATCCTTATACGCGGTGTACGTAGGTGTTAGCTTTCATAAGACAAAGGGTGCATTCCTTTGGGGTGATCTGGATCAGGATCAGTGATCCAAGATCTGTCTGGATCATGGTGCATCAGAGGAACCGTTGAATCCACTCTGGTCATGGATTCATCGGTTCCTTTGATGTGCCATGATCCAGACAGATCTTGGATCACTGATCCTGATCCAGATCACCCCAAAGGAAGGCAGCCTAAGAGTCAACTCTTTTTAGTGTTGACACCTAATCCAGGAAGGCATTGTATGTAGAAGGCAGTGTCTTACAGGGGTGTAGAGACCATATACACACGTATGCACATGTGTACCTCCAAAAATTCAGAAAAAAATATATATACATTTACTGGCAAAAAGTGTCTTTAATAATTAAATCAGCTGGTTTGACAGTCTCTAGTCTCTCCTAATACCCACTATCAACAATATTATGAGCCATTCCATTTTTTTCTACCCAGGTGTACAAATGGGTACCGGCAGGTGAATTAAATGCTGGGGGGTAACTCTGCGATGGACTAGCATCCCATCCAGGGGGGAGCAGAAATATTCCTAGTCGTTTAGTGCTACTGAAACCGGGATAAACTCCGGCCTGATGGGCCTCTTGGCTCGTTTGCAGACTTTACCTAAATACCTTGAAATCATGGTTTTTGGTATTTGCAGAGGAAAAAGCGAAGCTAAAGAAACTCCAATTGGAGGAAAAGAAGAAGAATGCAGAATTTCGTACAAAGGTACAACAAAAGCTCCCCAAATATTAAAAGTAGTTTTTTTT